CACGGCCTGTCGCAACAGGCCCTGCTAAAAAGTTTGCCGCCAAGTAAATGCATCAAAAAGCGAAAAAACCCAACAAAACAATCCAGAGAGCTCCGTAGCTCCAATAAACTGTGGTTTCACCGTGGGTTCCCCATCTTTTATCTCCTCGGGAGGACCAAGACCAGTTAGTTTAAAACGCAGAACTCGCATCGCTTTCAGTAGGAATAGATGATTTGGACCTGTTGGACCTCGGAGACGTTTCTTTTTCTTTTTTTTTTTAGTAAAAAGAGACCATGCCGAAGGAGAACGTATGTATTTACAAAACAAAGAAAGAAAGGTAACTCTAGATCTCTAGGTAGAGGGAGAGAGGAGATTTTTTTCCAATACTTTTGATCTCTTTGCTCATCACATTTTCTTAAGCAGCCCGTTAGGTTACAGGAAAGAACAGTAGTACGTTAACGGAGCTATCAATCACTTGCAATTTAGTTCCTGTATTTGTAATTCATCTTTAATCACTCAAAATACAGTAAATCCTGAAAATACGCATTCCTACTACTTTCCGAAGCCTGCCAGCAGACGGGCAAGGTTCTTCGGCTACCAAAGCTCAAACTTTTCAAACAATAAATTACAACTCCCAAGCACAGCTCAAGCTCAGTTGTCATTCGATCTGTAAGCGGCCACGTCTGCTATTCGAGGGCTTTCAGACAGATCGCTGGCGGAAAACGTTCCCCGTGCTCCGGTCGGGGGACGCAACTGTCGGCTCTGCAGGCAAACCTCGTTTCCTGCAAAGTCATTGCGAGCAATACCCGTCTGCGGCATCAAAGCCTGCGAGAGCAGCCTGCGACTTGTGACGTTCGTTCGACGGTTGTACGACGCTTTGACTGTTTTAACTCATTAGCCCACGTCTGTAAACAGAGTATTTACTTTTTATGCAGCACCGAGGTGTGACGCTGCTGTTCAGGACCCGCCGAAAGCCGCGTCTGCTGTAAGGAACGGGGGCCGTGAGGAGCTGGAGGACAAAGGTCCTTCCTAGAGCTGACCCACGAGCACCCGCCGCCCGCTCGGCGGTGATGCAGCGTTTTCCGCGTTTGATAATTAGTCGATGCCAGTCGCTGCCTCCTCAGTCCCTCCCCGTGAGGCGGCGATGTTCACCCCCCAAGCGCTGGCAGGGACGGATCGAGGCGGGCACCCCCCCGGCTCCGCGCGGGCAGCCGCCCCAGGCAGGGGGCACACGGTGGCCCAGGGGGGCTTCGGCCCAGCGGCGGGTCCCCGCTCCCCTTCTGCCGGCTCCCCTCGGTGCCGCT